CCCTTTTGTGCCTGGTTTATTTCATTTAGTATATAATGTCATCCATACTCATCAGTGTTCTGCAGATGACAGGCTTTTATTCTGCCTTATACTGGATAATATTGTGTACATATACCACATTTTCGTTATCTACTCATTCATCCATGGACATCTGGATTGATTCCATATCTTGTCCATTGTCAATAGTGTTGCAATAAACATAGGCGTGCAGATAGCTCTTTGACATAGAGATTCCTTTGCCTTTGGATATTGGGTAGCTGAATCTCATGATGTTTCTATTTCTAGGTGTGTGTGTGTGTGTGTGTGTGTGTGTGTGTGTGTGTGTCTGTTAGGAACATCTATGCTGTTTTTCATAATGGGTTCCCTAATTTACATTTCCACCCACAGTCTATGAAAAGTTCTCCTTCTTCAAAAATAAATAAATAAATAAATAAATAAATAAATAAATAAATAAGAAGCATACCCCATAGCATTGCCAAAGGGGAGGAAGCTGAATCTAGTCAAACTTCTGCATCCAGTTACCAGTTTTCAGAAAATACAGGATGGGGAGGAGTATGTTAAGGTGCATATAAAGATATGCAGTACAAAAGGCCCTGGGTTCAGTCCCTAGTACCACAAAACAGTGCCTAGACCAGAGGACTATAGGACTATAGGACAAATGTGCTAGATTCTTCAAAAGATAAATTATAAGGAAAAGAAAGAGGCGAAGGGGAAAGCTATCGATCGAGACTTAAGAGACATAAAAACTCCTTCTAAGTGGTCAGGACTAAACTAGACTGTCTTTGGGTGCATCTTTGGGTGGTAAAACCATTAAGGCCAAGGATATGATTACTTTAAAAGTCCAAGAGAATGGTTACTTTCAGAGGAAAGAGAAGGCTGTGATGGAAATGGGACATGTGAGGTAATATCTGCATTCTATTGGTAGATTATATTTTCTTCTTTTTTTCCCCTCTGAATCAGGATTCAAATACATTCCATATATTACAGAGAGAGAGATTCCCTTTCTCCTCATTGCTGAAAAGCAGTCTATTTTTTACATATCCCAAATATGACAAGAAGTTTGCCTAACTGTTCTCATGTGCTAGCTAGATAGAAACTTTTTGTGTAATTGCTTTGTGACTTAATCCCTTCCACTGCTGTAGTCTGGGCACGTGTATGTCTGAACATGTAGACCCATCTCATTCCCTTCCACTTTTCCTGTGTTGTATTCAGTGATGTGAATACATTGTAATTGGTGTAACTGTCCTTCTATTAGTAGGCATTTAGATTTTTACCTGGCTTTTACTGTTCTAACCTGTTTGTGTGCATAGTAGCTTACTTTCATGGGTATACTTTTTTTTTTGGTACCGGGAATCAAACTTGGGACCTTGTGCTTGTAAGGCAGGCAGCAACACCACTGAGCGAAAAATCCCCAGCCCTCATGGGTATATCTTTTAAATGAATTTAAATGACAGAGTAGTATTCCATTGTATATACATACCTCATTTTCATTATCCATTCATCTGTTAATGGACAAATGGGCCACTTTCAAGATGTAGCTATTATTGAGCTGCTTGATATCAATATGGGTATATATAAATCACTGTAATATGAAATCTTTAACCCTTTTGGAAAGATACTTAGAAGGGGAATGGCTGGGTCAAATGGAATTTCTATTTTTAGTTTTTGAGGACTCACCATACTGATTTCCATATGATTACAGTAGTTTGCATTCATTTTTTTAGGTTAGTATTTGGTATGTATGTATCTATGTATGTATGTATTTATTTATTTTGTACTGGGGATCAAACTTGGGATCATGCACTTGCAAGGCAGGCAGCAGAACCACTGAGCTAAATCCCTGATCCAGTATTTGATTTTTTTAATGATAGCCATTCTTTCTGAAGTAAGATAGAATATCATTATTGTTTTAATTTGCATTTTTGTAACTGCCAGACATGTTGAACATTTTTTCATGTATTTATTGGCCAGTTGTACTTCTGAGAAGTGTCTGTTTCATTTTTTGATTGGGTCTTTTATTTGGGGGAGTAAGTTTTTGTGTGTTCTAGATATTAGTCCTCTGTCCAAAGAGTAGCAAAAATTGTTTCCAATTGCATAAGCTGTCTCTTCATTCTGTTGGTGGTTCTTGAGGGGCAGAAGCTTTTTAATTTGATATGTTCCCATCTGTTGATTCTTGATGTTATTTTCTGTGCTGTTGGGGTTCTGTTCAGAGTCTTTGCCTATGCCGATGTCTTCAAAAGTTTCACCTATTTTATATTCCAGCAGATTAACTTTCTGTTTTAATATTTTATGTCTTTGATCCATTTTGATTTTGTTTTAGTACTTGGTGAGGTGTATGGGTGTAGCTTAAATCTTCGGTGTGTGGATAGCCAGTTTTCCCAGCATCATTTATAAAAGAAGCTGTCTTTGCTTCATTATGTTTTTGGCTTAATCGGAGATTGATAGTTGAAGAGCTTAGAATTTAACTCTGTGGCATTGAGTCTGCCTCAAAAGAGCAAGGTCCTGAGTTCATCCCCAGTACCAAAAACAAAAAAAGATTGATAGTTGATGTGCCTAGGGTTGTTCCTGCATCCTCTAGTGTGTTCCATTGAACCACATGTGTATTTTTGTGCCAGTACCACATTGTATTTATCACTGTTGCTTTGTAATATAATTTGAAATCTGGGATTGTGATGTCTCTTGCTTTGCTTTCGTTCCCTGGAATTGTGCTTGTTATTCTGGGTCTCTTTTTGTTCTGTATGAATTTTAGGACTTTTCCCTAGTTCCTTGATGAATGCTATTGGTATTTTAACTGAGATTACATGAAGTTTATGTATCCCTTTGGCAATATGGTTATTTTGACTGTTGTTCTGCTTATCCAGAAACAAGGGATAGTTTTCTATTTTCTTTTTGTTGTTTTTGAGACATTACATAGTCTAGGCTGACCTCCAGTTCACAGTGGTTCTCCTGCCTCAACCTCCTGAGTGCTAGAATTACAATCATGTGCCACCACACCTGGCTTTCCATTTTCTAATGTCCTCCTTTATCTCCTTTTTCAGAGAACTGTAGAGGTCTTTTCCTTCCTTGGTTAGGTTAATTTCTAAGTATTTAATTTTTCTTGATGCTATTGAAAAGGTATTGTTTCCCTAATTCCTTTCTCCAGTGAGTTCATTATTGGTTTATAGGAATGCTGTTGATTTTTGTGTGTTGATTTTTTTTATTGTGCTACATTGCTGAATTTGGCTATTAATTCTAGGAGTCTTTTGGCAGGATTTGGGGGGGCCTCCTATGTAGAGGATCATGTCATCTTCAGATAATGACCATTTGACTTCTTCCGGTCCTATAACATATCCCTTATTTCTTTCTCTTATCTAATTGCTCTGGCTAATGATTTGAACAGAAGTGGTGATAATAGACATCCTTGTCTTGTTCTTGATTTTGGAGGAAAGCTTCAGTTTTTCTGCATGTAATATGATGTTGGGGGTATGCTTGTCATAATTTTATTAGATTGAGATAATATCCCTCTGTACTTATGTTCTTTAGGGTTTTTATAATAAATGGTTGTTGGATGTTGTCATTGGCCTTTTTTGCATCTATTGTGTTGCTCATGTGACTTTTGCTTTGCTTCTGTGTATATGATATATTACATTTTCATTTTGCTTACATTTATTGATTTGTGCATGTTCAGTCATCCTTGCATCCCTTGGATGAAGCCTCCTTGGTCATCATGTATTATCTTTTTTTTTTTTTTTTTTACTGGGGATCGAACCTTGCACTTGCAAAGCAGGCACAGTGCCACTGAGCTAAATCCCCGGCCATCTATAATCTTTTTTATGATTCGTTGCATTCTGTTTGCCAGCATATTATTAAGTATTTTTGCCTCTGTGTTCATCAAAACTTTCTTAAAAGAAATCCATTTAATTTTTTAAATATTTTAAAAATTCAGTACAGGCTTCTTATATAAAATATTTTATAATTCTCATAGATACTGCTTCCTTTCACATTTTAAAACTTGATCTTTTCTCCCTGATATAGTTTATTATTGAGAAGTACATTTTATACTTCTAGAGTGTTGGTGCAGGAAGGGATCTCCAACCATCTTATCTGACTCCCTTATTTTTTTATTGAGGTACAATCCATATTTAAATGAAATTTTAGGTGTTTTATTCAGTATTTTTAGTATATTTTAACTGTATTATGATGTACAACCATCAGCACTAATTCCAGAACATTTCTACCACCCCACAAAGAAACTGTGTTATCTGTTATGAGTCAACCCCAATTCCTCCCTTCCCTCATCCCCTGGCATCATTTTTGTCTGTTAATTTGCCTAATTTGGACATTTCATGTAAATGATATCATATAATATATGGTCTTTTCTTACTTTTTATTTAGTATAATGTTTTCAAGGCTTATTTGTGCTATAGCATATAATAATAGCAGTTCATTCCTTTTTATAGCTGAATAATGCTGTATTCTACAGATACTCCATATTTTGTTTATCCCTTTTTGTTCTCTTGGCTGTATAGCTTAAGAGTGGGTTTTCTGGCTCTTCAGCCTCCCACTTTACTTAGGGATTGATTGGTGTTATGTTGGGGCTCACTGCAGGCATCTAGATAGCAGGGGCAATGAACCCCATCATTTCTCCCAACCTTGTTAACTCTTTGCCTTCTTAACCATATACTCAGACATTTCTTTATTTTGACCCCATAGCAATTTGCTTGTTTTCCTGCCTTCCTTTGGAATATTCAGGAATTCAAGTCTAGGGGATTGTTCACTTTAAGATGCACTTATTTCAGGAGTGAAAATCCCAGTGAAGTGTTCACTAGTGTTTTTCTTTCCACTCCTAATTCATTTAAGTAAATACCAAGATTGACTTAGCCTATGCAGGTGGATCTGTCTCCTATTCTACCTGAAACCATCGGGAATGGTGTTGTGGGATAGGAGGTCCTAAGAGAAATTCTAGTCCTCAGCTTCTTTTCTTGACATCAGCTTGTCCTTTTTTTTTCCCCCCTCTTTAGGTTGTGTCTACACTGCTGATAAACATAATCCCAGAAGACTACTTCCCACTGAACTTAACTGGAAAGTCAAAAATCCCTGGAAAAGCCTGGGTACAGGGAACTCCTCGGCCTGTTCCCAACTTTAACCCTGACTTGATGTGCGAGTCCCAGGTAAGGCTGCACAGCTGACTTCTAACCCAATTATAGACAGAGACCAAAATGGAGACACACTAACAGAAGCTGGTGCTATATCTCAGAAGAGGCAGGGTTTTGTTGCAAAGATGGTGTCTTCTTTTGTCTAGGAAAGGTCAGGGTTGATCTCCCATCTGAGCCCTGTAGCGGGGTTATAATGGATTCTGCATTTAGACCTAAAGCTGCTACTTTCTTTTCTTTTATAAATCATATGGTTAATGCTTGCTGCATTATGTAAGTAGAAGTTCTTTTTATTTAATTAGTTTCTAGTTAATGTTGTTCTGTGAAAATACAAGTTCAAGCCTTACAGCAATTATTGACTTACTCCAGGATGCAGTGGAGGGAGTCCTAGGCCAAAGTTACAAAGTCATACCTGTGTTCTTATTCATGAGGTCTTAATCAAGGGCAATTGACTTCCAGGATAAGTAGGAGAGTGGGGAGAGGGGAGCAGGAAGACATAGAAGAGAGATGTTGTAGTCCCTGAAAATGAAATTAAGAACAGTTGGGCTGTGTGTATTCATCTCCTTTATTTGAAAAATAAGTAATTAGTTTCACGTATTCCCTGCTTCTTTCCAAGAAGGATCAAAGGCCAGTCAGAAGGATAGGCCGCTAGAAGAATAAACACAGTGAGGTTAATGCAAATTGAGGTAGGCAGTGTGGCTCCCTTGGGAGGCATCGCCTGCAGCCCAGTATTGATGGCCTTTCCCCACACAGGTGATCATCAGGGAAGGGGAGCTGCTCTGTGGAGTGCTGGACAAGGCGCACTATGGGAGCTCTGCCTATGGCCTGGTCCACTGCTGTTATGAGATCTATGGGGGTGAGACCAGCGGCAGGGTCCTTACCTGCCTGGCTCGACTTTTCACTGCCTACCTGCAGCTCTACAGAGGCTTCACCTTGGGTGAGTGTGGGGCTCTTAGCCCCTGCTCTGCTGATCTTTGGGGAGCAACCAGATTTCTCTGAAGGCATCTGGCCTCGCTACTTCTCATGCTGTCCCCTAACCCTCCTCAGCCAGGGTTTCCTCCCTCTTGATGGTGCAGAGCCACTCTCTCCATCTCCATTTCTATCCTGTCCCTGTGTCAATACCCGCTTCAGTTTTCTGTCCCTCACACTGATTCTGATCCTCGTGTAGAAGACCCCTATCCCTCCTGCAAGCAACCTCTGGAATTCCCTGGGCCCTCCCCACCCACAGAGGAATTTCCCTGTTTTCAGAGGTGCCCCTGCTTCTCTGGCATGGTGGGCAGCTTCAACACTTTGAAAACATTGTTGGGGCAGAGCAGTCAGGGGATTCTAAAGTGGGAAGAGGAAATCCCTTGTTTGCTCCCTGGTGGTGAGAACACAAAATTTAGGGAGTTGTGATAAGTACAGAAAACAGTATGCTGTTTTTCTCTGCACTGGGTGAGATTGGCATTGGAAAATTTGCCAAGGGCCTACTCTCCACCCCTGGGTATGTGGGCCCTTCTGCATGGTTCTATGAGGGAGATGGTGTTTGTTGAGGATTTACCTCAGGGCATGGAAGTACTGTCTAATCTGTGAGATCATGAATGGGGAAAATGAGGCTCTGCTTGATGGGCTTGCCTGCACATAGACAGTGGGAATCCCACCCTGAAGTCCATAGGCCTGCCATAGTGGGAGCTGGGTTATTGGCCTGCAGCAGGACCTGTATTACTTTTTTTTTTTTTTCAGGTAGTGGTGATACCAGGGCCTTGGCCCTCAGCTTTGTCCATAGTCCTTTTTATTTTGAGACAAGTTCTCACTAAGATGCCCTGATTAGATTTAAATTTATGATCCACCTGCCATAGCCTCCATAGTGCTGGGATCACAGGCCTTTGCCACCATACCCCAATGTGTTACATTTTGTTCTACTTTAAATCGTATAATATTTTTAATTCTGGGAAAGTGAAAAAGTACAAAGATTTTTAAACCAGAATCCATTTGGTGTATTATCCACTAGTGTCAATTTGATGTGCATATTTCCTAATTTTTTACTACATACTGTTTTGTAATCTATTTCTCCACAAACTCCATTTCCAAATGTATTTAAAAATGTTTTTCTGGTCAGCTAATACAAACCTACATCCCTATGTCTGGTGACGTCAGATTATTCTATTTAAGAGGGTGTTCGTTTGTTTCTCAGTGTTAGAGGAGATTGCCTACAGCACCCCCCCACACACAGGTAACAAAATCCAAAGATGCTCAAGTCCTTTATATAAAGTGTTGTATAGTATTTGCACAGAACCTGCATACATCTTCCCACATATTTAGATTATCTCTAAATTATAGTACCAAAAACTATGTAAGTAGTTGCTAAACTGAGTATAGGGAATCATGACAAGAAAAAAGGTCTGTATATGTTCAGTACAAATCCAAGTTTTTTTTCCCCAATATTTAGGCTGCTTATGAGTCTTCACATTATTACTGGGTTGAGTACCCTTGCAGAAACACCTTCACATATAAATCTTAATTATTTTATCGGGATAGGAATTAATAAATTACCAGTCTGTTTGGGGCTAAAATTTATATTCTACATCCTGATTCCTGGAATGGGCCTGATTGCCCACTTCCTGTTGGGACCTACACTAGGGTCCCCACAGGGTAACCAAAGAGAGTGAAATGTGAAGACTTAGAACTTCACACTGTAAATCAGTTTCAAATGGTGACATAGAGTAACACAAACACCTCTGCTAACTAGAAAAAACTCGGAGAGCCCTACCCTCCTCACAGTGAAGCCCCAGCAGTGATGCATACAGTTCTGCTTAGCTTGTAGTACAGAGACACATTGGCCCCTGAGTGCAGGGACAGTTTGATGTGGTGTGGCATGGCTTGGGTAGACAGCAAGGCCAAACTGGGGATAGGCTCCAAGGGGAGAGCAGGCTAGTGAGGCTGACTTCATTCCAGCCCTTCTTAGGCAGAGGGTGTCACTACAGAGGACAGCAAGTGACCTAGAGGTAAGCCCATGGCTGGGTCTGCTTTGATGATTGTGACTTCCTTTCCCAGTGAATGCCATGGGAATTTCATATGATAGCCCCAGCTTTTGAAAATACTGTTTGCTTTCCTGCCCAGATCTTGGCTGAAGGACTCAAGTCCTGTAGCACTCACAGATAGAGGCAATAATATGTGGATAAAGTGGTTAGACATAATACTGCCCAAGGTGAGCAATTCTTCAACCCTTAGAGCCAGAGTACACACTTAACTGAAGCAAGCCAGGCTTTCATCTTCCTGAGGCAACACTGAGGAGCCCGCAGTGATGGTCCCTGTTACCCGGGCTCCAGCCTTTTTGTGAGCCTGTAACCCATCCAGCTATGCAAGTGGTACCCCTAGTGACTCAAGGCCTCTGGGAGTCCAAAGTAGGATACTCTTGGGGCCGGGGATGTGGCTCAGTGGTTCTGCCGCCTGCCTCATAAGCACAAGGTCCCAAGTTCGATGCCTAGTACTCTCCCCACCAAAGTAGGATACTCTTTTCTCCCTCTTTTTCCTTAACCTCAGCTTTCATCCCAGATCTCTTCTGCATCCCTTTCATACAGCACAGGTTTATTGGGTGGCTAAGAGCACAAGTTTGGGATTCTGGCCTGAGCTTGCTTTCCACCTTTATAACTTTGGGAAGTAGCTCAATTTTGAGCCTTAACTTTATCACTTGTAAAATGGGAATTATAGTGTTAGTGTGGTGGTCAGCACTAAGGAGATATTGGCAATCTCTTAATAATGACGTTAACATCGTCCTCCTCATTCTAGTGCTTCCTACATGTGTGTGTGGCTCTGTACTTTGGGCCTTCATATTATGAAGCTTACAGTCTAGGGAAGTCAGGTCTAGTTCTCTCTGAGCTTATCTGTTTCACTTCACAGGCATGGAAGACATTTTGGTGATGCCAAAGGCGGATGAGACAAGACATCAGATCATTGAAGAATCAACCCATTGTGGGCCCCGAGTAAGGAAAGGCTGGGAGATGTGGCCCTCTGTAGGAGCATCAAGTGTCCTGCAGAAAGAGACACACACCCTGTTCATTTCACTGCAGCCTGTGATGTGTTCTTTTCATTCTAGGCTGTCAGGGCTGCGTTAAACCTGCCAGAAACTGCATCATGTGATGAGATCCGAGGGAAATGGCAGGATGCCCATCTGGGCAAAGACCAGAGGGATTTTAATGTGATCGATCTGAAGTTCAAGGAGGAAGTGAACCATTACAGCAATGAGATTAACAAGGTTAGCCTGTCAGTACATTCACTTATCTCCACCTTTTGAATACAGATTTAAAAAAAAAAAATTTTTTTTTTTAAATTTTCATCGAAGAATATTTGGAGTACTTTAGCTTTACAACAGTTTACCAGGTTCGATTTGGGGTGGGCTCTGTAGAATCCATCATTTTGAATAGCTTTCAGGGGCCTCATTCCCTCACCCAGTTAGGTTCTGGAAATGCTTTGCACTGTTTTTCTTTTTAAATGCTTTTATTGTAGAGTGACTGCATGAAAGGGCTGAAGAAAATGGTCTTTCCCACGGGACTGCTATAGCTGGACAAGGAAAATGAAGGGCCAAAAACACCACTGTTGTTAATGTAGCTGAGTCAGGAGTGAAGCCTGGCTTCAAATCCTGTTTGTGCTTTTTACTTAATGGGCAAGTGACATAACCCACCAGTCTGTGCTTGGGTGTCCTCACCTGGAAGCAGGCCTAGCTAGGGCTCACTGTTCTTTGGCGTGGAGGAGCCAACCTGGCCTTCACTCTACCTTCTAGGCCTTGAGGTCCAGCCAGAGGAGGCAGTAGAGCCAACAGTCAACAAAGTAATTTTGTCTGTGGGGGCCTCTCACATGGCTTGCAGTGTCCCTTTGACTTCTAAGCAGACAGACCTCTCTTTGGTAGGCATCCCATCCTTGAGAGCTTTTGTCAGAGGAGCCTTCCCAGCACCACGGGGCTGACTGAAATTTTAGAGGTGGGGAGTTGTCTCCAGAAACATCTCAGAATGGCTTCTTGTCCCCCAACTCTCCTCTTCCTTCCACTTCCTTCCCAGGCTGCCCCTGTGGAGCTGGTCCTGGAACCAAGGCAAGGTTCACCCTTGGTGCTCCACAGTAGGCTGGTAAATGTGGACATGGTTTGGAGATTGGTGGTCTACTGTGTACCAGTTCACAGGGGCATCACTTTAAATGTTTTTCTTCCAAGCTTCTGTCTAGAATCACAGACTACATATGTCAGCTGCCACCTCCCCACTTTTTCCTTTTCCATCTTACTTTTTGCCGCAGTTTAGGCAAAGAATGGAACCTGAGGCTCCTGACATGGTGTGAGCACCCATTTGACTTCTGTGGGTTCTAGCAAAAGAACTGGTGCCAACTGAGGTTTTCCTTTACCTTGAATGGAATTTAGCCCTCATCTCTGGGTGCATATTCTTACTTTATTGCATCTTCATTCTGGATTTACCTTCTGAACCTGGAATTTGTAAAAGAGTGAAGTCATTGACCATTTTGTTGATTTTTATCTGCAGGCATGCATGCCTTTGGGCCTGCACAGACAATTCCCAGAGAACAACCTGCAGATGATGGTCCAGTCGGGAGCTAAAGGTTCAACTGTGAACACAATGCAGGTGTGAGCACAAGTGGTTTGGCTGATTTGCCAGAGGGTGGAATATTGGCAGGAGACAGTTTTCGGGTTCAGTTCTGATTTTAAAAAGATGTGCATTTGGGGCCGGGGATTTAGCTCAGTGGTTCCGCTGCCTGCCTTGCAAGCACAAGGACCAGATCAATCCCCGGTACCCCCCCTCAAAAAAAAAGATGTTCATTCTGTATATAATGTGACAAGTACTAAAAATCCTAAAAGCGTATAAATCACTACAGCACTACCCACCGTTAACATGTCAATGTTCAAGATAGAAGTAGGTGTACATTAGAATATGCATAACTGTTGTTTTATTGTATCACATGTATTCAAGTTATAAATGCAGGCTGTGTGTTTAACATCTCAGCTCATCTTTCAGTTTTTCATAGTCTACTTTTTCCCCTAATACCACATTGTAAGGGTTTGGTCCTAGAGATTACTTCTCCTTTTGTAATCCATTATCATTTCAGACTTCCACAGTGCTATGGAGGGCTTTTCACAAATCTTAACACCTGTTTTGTTTTTCATTCTGTATGACCTTTAGAGGATTGTAAGAACTACCCTATTGTTTAAAAGCCTGGAGGCCCTCAGGAAGTCCCCTGATGCAAGGAAAATCTAGACACATTGCCCCCACTTCCCCACCCCAAGAGTTTTCATAGACAGTTTGCTAAGCAAGTAGCTCATAGTTTGAGTTCCCTTTTAGCTCTAGAATGTAACAACCACAGTGAGTTACTTTTTCTTGTGACCCTCCCATTTCCTTGTGAGGGCCCTCAAGTGTCTTTCAGGTTTATAACGTGATGTTCAGGGACATGGCTTATTTTCCGAGCACAGCTCATTTTCAGCTGACCCCAAAGTGAAAATCCAGATCAGTGCCATGGAAGGTTTGATCCCTGGTACCCAAAAAAAAAAAAAAAAAAAACCAACTTCCACAGTGCTATGGAGGGCTTTTCACAAATCTTAACACCTGTTTTGTTTTTCATTCTGTATGACCTTTAGAGGATTGTAAGAACTACCCTATTGTTTAAAAGCCTGGAGGCCCTCAGGAAGTCCCCTGATGCAAGGAAAATCTAGACACATTGCCCCCACTTCCCCACCCCAAGAGTTTTCATAGACAGTTTGCTAAGCAAGTAGCTCATAGTTTGAGTTCCCTTTTAGCTCTAGAATGTAACAACCACAGTGAGTTACTTTTTCTTGTGACCCTCCCATTTCCTTGTGAGGGCCCTCAAGTGTCTTTCAGGTTTATAACGTGATGTTCAGGGACATGGCTTATTTTCCGAGCACAGCTCATTTTCAGCTGACCCCAAAGTGAAAATCCAGATCAGTGCCATGGAAGGTTTGATCCCTGGTACCCAAAAAAAAAAAAAAAAAATCCAGATGAGTAACACAGTTACTTTTTCTTGAAATGCAAGCTTCCCTAGTTTATTTAAAGTCTAGTTTGGCCTAGAATTTGGTTTCCATGTGGCTTTTTTTTTGAAGAGCCAGGCTGTTCCTTCCTTGATAGGACAAAAGTTTTGGGGGGTTTAGTTGTTTTTAACGTGCACATGCATCTTGTTTCATTTGTGTTTCCTTTCACCAGATCTCGTGCCTACTGGGCCAGATTGAACTGGAAGGTCGGAGACCCCCACTAATGGCATCTGGCAAGTCACTGCCCTGCTTTGAGGCTTATGAATTCACCCCTAGAGCTGGTGGCTTCGTCACTGGAAGGTTTCTCACTGGCATTAAGCCTCCTGTATGTGTATTTTGGTATTTCCATTTGACTGTTTTCATTTCTCATTTCTAGGCTCAATGGTGAGTGACTTATGACCAGCAACAATAACTGTGAGATAAGAACAGTTGAGTGATAAATGCCAAGCCATTTGCAGCCAGACCCTTGTTCCCATGAAGACCCAACCATGTGATGTTTACCAGTTTCGTGCCAGAGCATATGTGCTGACGCATAGCAGGCACTCAGTGTACTGATAAATGAGAAAATGAGTAGGACCAGTCTTGGCCCTGCCTTTATCTGCCATGTGACCTCTCTAAATCTGGTTAGGTTCATTTGAAGCGACTAGGAAAGGGAGTATCACTCCCCAGGCTGCTTATGCTGCCAAGAGGAGCATCATGGAGATTTGTTTACAAACTCCCCGACCCCCACGTTGCTCCCGTGACTCCCTTTCCCCTAGGAGGAGGCTTTCTCCTCTCACTCAGCAATGGCTTTTTGGATGTTGGTGCCTTTCGTTCCTTGGTGTGGTGCATGTCTAAAGGGTTGACTATGCTCGGGCGACTAAGTCCAGATCATAAATTATTCCAAGGCCACTGACTGACCCACAGCTCCTCCCTCCACTCTACACAGACTCTGTAGAAGTCATCCCTGGTCTCTGGCATGGGAGGGTGAAGCATTGGTGCAGACCAGAATTTCTCAATTTCTGACTGACCCGTCAGTGGGTCAAGAAGTCATAGGAGTGGATTGGGACCAGCATTCCTTTATATAACAACAGAATGGAGAGATAAAGAAAACCTCAGAGCTTATCCCTTCTACTAGTGGGCTAGTGCCCTAAGGTTTTTTTGCAGTACTAGGGATTGAACTCAGGACCTTGTGCTTGCCAGACAAGTGCAGTGCCACTGAACTAAATCCCTGGCCCACCATAAGGTTTTAGTTTGAATTTTATGTCTTTATAAGCTTGTGTGTATATATGTCTGCATTTGCTGATTACTTTTATAGATGTATCGTCACTGTGGGTTGCACTAAAAAAGTTTAGAAAATACCACCTAGGTCTGCTCACTTGTTGGAAGCAGAATGCAGATACAGAGGCTGAACCAGACAGTAGAGAGGCACCAATAACTGTTTCTCTTTGGAAAGAAGGCATAGGGCATGGCTCTGAGGAGGTACAAATGGATACAAAGGACATTTGACTTCTGTGGACAGGAGATGTTGCTTCTGATCCACTCTATCTTCAGGCGAGGAAAGACAAAACTGCAGGGGAGTGCAGCAGACGGCACTGGGGGCCATTAGTGCCTTTATAGCCAAGGGCTCAGGAGATCAAGGGAAGGAGTGGGCCATCTGGTCAGGAGAAGCTGCTGAGGGTGTCAGTCTGCATGGCTCTCCAGGAAGGGCAGAGTACTCATTGTCACTTTTGGGACCTGGGTCCCTTTCTTCCACAGGAGTTCTTCTTTCACTGTATGGCAGGGCGAGAAGGGCTGGTGGACACTGCTGTGAAAACCAGTCGCTCCGGCTACCTCCAAAGGTAAAAGCACCATTGTGTCCCTGTTAAGATGTAGTCATTGTTCCAGGGCCCTGTACCTGTCATCTTTCACTGAAGAATCTTAACTGATAAAAACTTTATAAATTCCTTCGTGTGTGGCCTGATGCAGAAAACAGCAGGCAGGTATTCTTCCCCTTCCACTGAACTGGTAGAGCATGTGCTTAGTGGCTTTTGTGTAAACCCTGCCTTTTGCAGTGCTTCCACCCCCTCAGGGGCCTCAGACGTAGGGGAGGTCTCAGGCAGTGGCAACCTTGTCCTCATCTGAGAGGCTTAGTGGCCCAGGGCAGTGCAGAGGATTCCAGAGTCCTTGCCTGTGAGTCTGTGATTGATGTCCCCTCAGTTACAGGTGTCATTTTGGGGCTCCCCTTCCCGGCCCAAACCTGCTTATTTCTCTCCTTATCGTTAGGAAAAGAAGAAGCAGCCGTATAACTGGTCTTGATCTGGGCAGGGAGGACCAAAGCTTAAACCTAAACAAGGCCTGACTCCAGGGAGCCCAGTAGGATGAGGCAGCAGATCCCTGCATTCTAGTCTCTCTCCTCTGGTGCAGTGTAGAAGGTTGGTTTAGAGGACATTTTGTCATAGCTCATCCTGAGCCCACACAACCCACTCTGGTAGAAAGGATAGGAAATGGAGGAGATGTTGAAAATAAATTATCTCAGGCCTGGCTTTAAGTTGTATCCTCAGGGAACTCTGCTAACTACATTTCTCCATCCTGAAGTTCTGCCTATCTGTTCTTAGCTCTGTCCTTCTGTTTCTGAGCTCAGATTTCCCAAACATGCATGCCGTGCTCTGGTCCCTTCTCCCTTGACTCCCATACCTGCAATCCATGGCATTGGGGTAGGAAGAGGAAGAGTGGGGTTGATGTAGAGACACACCTGGGTGGCCTGTTGAAGCCTGTCTGTGGAGCTGCCATTACCCAGCAGGGCCTTACACTCAGTGCAGCCAGGCCCAGCTCTCCTTGTTCCCAGGGGTTTGGGTCACATGTTCCATTTACTTATGTGAGCAGAGGTTATGCCTCCATTCCTCCTAAATTTTCAAAAATACATGTGTAGTATAGAAAAATGCTAGTAAACAGATGACCAAATAAGTAGGGGTAGAGACTCCATATGTTGGGCAGGAGGCTGCAAGGCCCATTGAAAATAGGGGGAGGTGAAGGAAGGTGTTGGGGTTCCTGTCTGAAACAGAAGAGCAGCAGCCTTTGGGCACAGGCATTTGCAGGCTGCATCTCCAGCAGGAAGCAGGTGAAGGCTCTTGAGTGGGGCAAGTACAGTGCAGGACCTTAGATAGCCTGGGTTGGGGAGACCCAGGCTGGAGGTGGAAGGCAGTGGAAAGAAAGGAAGAAGCAGGTGTAGGGAAGGCATGGGGTTCAGGCCTGAGTGGCAGCATGGCACAGTTGGCCGGAAGGAGAACGCTGTGGGGCAGAGAGGAGGTATGGGTGGACGTGAGGTAATAGCAGCAGGGTATTTAAGTGAGAACATGAGTGGACCCTTAAGATGAGGCCTGAAGCTCAGAGAGATCTGGAGTCTTGGTCATGAGGGGCAGTTGTTGGAGTCCTGTGAGGTCCATAGAGAAAGGGCCAAGGACTGACATATCAGCCTATGCAGCAAAACAGGATGAGTGTTTGGCACCACCCTGGCCAGGCTCTGGGCTGTGTACCATGAGCACTGTGGTGACTAACACTGTCCTTAGAGCTCAGGGTGGGTTTCAGGAGAAAGGAACTGGGCTCCCAGAAGCCTCCCAGGGTGACAGAAGGAAAATTAAGTCAGAGTGGCCAGAGGGTAAGCAAAGACCAGGACCAAGCCACAGTGCAGGTGAGTTAAGAGAGTAAGCCAAACAGGAAGATGGAGGACAAAGGCCACCACTTTAGGGATGTTGCATCAGCATTTAGTTCTGGATACCCTTTAGTATCCCTGGCAATCACATTCCAGAATCCTTGCCAGCTCCCCTGCCTCTCCTACCCTCTGGCTCTAAGGATACTGGTCCCTGGGGAGCTCTGTGGAGCAAGTGGGCAAAGGACCAGACCGTAGCCCCAGCAGCTGGGCTAGGTGGGAGCCAGTTCTGGCAGTGGAAACCAAGCCTCTCAGCTATAATGCTGTGGCACCTCCTTCTAGAAAGCCATCAGGAAATGCAGCCCCTGACTAAGGGATGCTGGAGCCTGGGACACTGGAGCTGGCATGTGTTAGAGACATATATGGCTACAGAACAGAGTCCCCTGTCCTTCCCCTGCATATTTGCCCACTGGAGGTACACCTGGCAGGGACTGAGCTCTTGGTCTTCTTACAGGTGCATTATCAAGCATCTGGAGGGACTGGTCGTCCAGTATGATCTGACAGTCCGCGACAGTGATGGCAGCGTGGTACAATTCCTGTATGGGGAGGATGGCCTGGACATCCCCAAGACACCGTTCCTGCAGCCTAAGCAGTTCCCCTTCCTGGCAAGCAACTATGAGGTGGTGCCAGCTCTGGGCCCTGGGGGTTGGGGCCTTCCATGTGCGGCTGGAGAACCCAGCATCCTGAGCTCTGCTACCCTGTCCAGTAGCCATCACAAAGTCAAGAGGGAAGGGTTTATACAGCACCTGAATAGGCCTGTATACTAAGGCCCTGAAACAATTGTGTTTTCCAGAGCCTCTCTCTGTTTAGATCACATTCATTGGTGGCAGAACATGGGCACACCTTGAGTAACAGCCTCTTTTAGGGATGCTTGCTCTGTGCCAGGCCCTAAGCTAGAAAACACATTGAATACCATCTGGGATCGTCCTCACCACAACTAGGGAAGTTGGCAGCACTCTGCCCAATTTATGGTTGAGGCACCTGAGGGTCAGAGCTAAAGTAGACAGGTGGTGAGACTCAGCATTTGAACACAGGCCCACCTGACACACACACTGATTTTCACACTGCCCTACAACCCTGGTAACGACCATCACTGTTGACTGAGCAGTCACCCCAGTATACATACAGTAAGTCCCCAGCATAAGAACGATTTCTGTTCTGGGAGAGTGTTTATCAGTCAGAATCATTTGTAAGTCCAACAAAGTGAGTCTTACATACCTTTGACACAAATACAATGTAGAGCATAAAAAAACCTAGCACATCCACAAAAATACTGTAATTAAACTACTTTTACTTTTACTTTTACTCAAAGTGGTAAGGTAGACATGAGCTATTTCCTCAATTTATTCATATCTATAAATGTTCGTAATGCAAGGTCTGTCCTTATCTGTGAAAGTTCACAACTCTAATGTTCGTAAGTTGGGGACTTACTGTACTGGGAAACTAAACCTGTTCAAGGTCACCTAGCTGATGGCAGAATCAAGGATCCTTTGTTTCCTGGCACTTGGCTCAGCACTAAAGCCATCCTCTTCCTTTCTTCCCAGAACACCCTCTGTTCCTGGGGGGACTCTGAGTGTGCTACTGTGCCTCTCCCTATGACTGCTTTGGCTCTGAGGCCAACAGCCCCCAGGCCGGGTTTGCACATAAGGGCCCTGATCAGCAGTGGGTGCTCGGTCCCTGTGTGAGGCTTCATGAGAGTTCCTCATATGTCCCCTAGGTCCTGTGATGTGTGGCATGGCTTTTCTGTCACACCCTCATCTCTTATCTTGTGTGTGGTTGGTTTGTTTAGGTAATAGTGAAATCCAAGCATCTCCATGAAGTTCTGTCCAGAGGAGAATCCCAGAAAGCTCTCCGCCACTTCAGAGCCATCAAAAAATGGCACAGCAAGCATTCCAGTGCCCTGCTGAGGAGAGGTGCCTTCCTGAGTTATTCCCAGAAGATTCAGACAGCAGTGAGAGCTCTGAACCTCGAGGGCAAGAACCAGAATGGCCGAAGCCCAGAGGCTCAGCAGGTGACATGGGGAGGCTGTGTCCCCAGTGCGTTCAAGCCTTAGTTGGATAAGGATGAGGAATTCCCTCATAGAAAGTATGATTGTAAAATCAGTCAGAACACAAATGGCACTCAAATAGGAATGCTGGGAGGGGACTTTCCGGGCATGTGTAGGGTCTGGGGGAGTTACTGGGTTTGGTGACTTTTGGGTTCCTCACCACCCCAGGCATGAAGAAATGAGAATAATCACCAAAATTGGACAGGGTGCCTGTGGGCAGAGCACTAAATAGAGACCCATAGAGAGGTCAGGATAAAGCCCAGTGCCACTCTCTTGCCTTCACTGTGCTGCTGGCAGCTCCTGTTAGCCAGACACAGCTGGGAGCTAGAAGACAGGAGCTCTTGGAAGCAGTGGGGCACAGAGCCTATGGAGGAGCCTGCATCTGAGGACTATAGCACATTCACCTCACTGTCCTGGTTGGTCTAGGACAGGTGTGGCTTTTCCTCTTGTCCTAGCATCATCATTAACACTCAACCTATTTGACTCCAGAAGAGTCCAGTTGGACAGTCAGTTATGAGGTCACCCTAGCTGTGCTCGAGCAAGCCAGGGTGAGGAGTCAAGGGAGCCTGGGAGGAGTGGGGTGCCTGGGGGCCATATTCAGCTTCCCATTTTAATGGCAGAGTTCTTTTTCTCATCACACTCAGGCTTCTGTCTTACTTTGCTCCATGATCTCATCTGGAACTGATGCCATTGAGCCTCAGGCCACTAGGTGTCCCAGGAGTAGAAGCCCATTTCTGATCCTCTCTCATGTAGCTAAGACCTCTTCTGCCCTTTGTTCAGATGTTGCAGATGTGGTATGAGTTGGATGAACAGAGCCGGTGGAAATACCAGAAGAAAGCAGCCCCTTGTCCTGACCCCAGTCTGTCTGTCTGGCGTCCAGACATCTACTTAGCATCTGTGTCAGAAACATTTGAAAAAAAGGTTGATGACTACAGCCAGGATTTGGCAGCCCAAGCAGAGAAGAGTTATGAGAAATCAGAGCTTTCTCTTGACAGGTGATGACGTTAAGTGTGTGAGAATGAAACTCAAGAAGAAGGGAGGGATGTGAGACAGCAAGGGGCACCTTGCAGGCCCTGAGGGCTCTACATCAGACCAGAGGAAGTAAGCAGGAGTAGGGCATGCTTCTCATTTGAGCCAAGATCCAGAAGAGCCTCTGCTGGAACAAAGGCTTGCAGAAACGGCCTCTCTTGTGTTTGGTGTGGTGGCCATGGCAGAATGAGTCAGAGAATCAATATGCTCACCATTGAACTGCTGCCAACTCTGACCCAGGTCAAGTCACCTCTGTCTCAGGACATCACCTCTCTGCTTTTCACAAGAGCTTGGAGCTGATGACTGTGATGACCCTTAGAACTTTGGGTTTCCAAGCTGAAGGAGGAAGGCCCATGTGGAGGCCTCAGCTTGGACCATTCTGTTCCCTCTCCCCCTCCCACCTCCCTGCTCCTTCCTTCCTCCTCCCCTTCCTGTCTCCCTTGAGCCTGCACAGTATGCCACACTATCACAAGAGCCATTCAGGATGCTGCTCACATTCAGTCCTGGGTCTGTCCCACACAGATCACTAAGCCTGCAAAGCTGAAGATCTAGAGACCACCTGCCCTAGTGTGGCCCCTTGTTCTGGCCCTGGTGACGCCAGGCCAAGTGCATAAAGGGTCCTGGGGTAGGACTGAGAGCTGGGTGATGCGAGGCAGTGGAGTCACTTGAGCAGACACAGCCCTGAGTGGAGGAACTGGAGGAGGCCAGGTTTCTCTTTCCTTTCACATGCTTTCTCCAGCCAGACCTCAGAGATTCCCAGCCAGCTTGTCTAGCTGCCAGCTGGGCTTTCCCTGGAAGAGCAAGATCCTGACTCTCCCACCCCTCCCCCACTGCACCACTGCAGCTCAGGAGGTTGCATTTATTTTCAAAAGGACCTAGAACTTGGAGAGAATTACAGCTTTGTGATGCTGCCCTTCCTCTACATCATCGTTCACATTCACACACATCTGCCTTTGTTGAGCCCCTTCCTAGTTCCATGCGCCAGGTAGCACTATTCCCGGTGCCTCTTCCCAAAGGGCCTGCTGTTGTAGAAAGAGTGGTTAGTGCATTGCAGAGTTGGGCAGCATGGGTACTTTTGTGTGGTCTGCAGCCACTTGTACCAGTGAAGTTATTTACTAGGTACTTTACTGTGTCCTTCACTGTTTAGTGAACCTGAACCTCTAATACTTACATTTAAAGGTTTAAGCCCTCTCCACACTGTCATAGCTTGGGATTGGGGTGTAAGGTGAACAAAGGAAAATGTGAATAATGAGCCCAGAAACACTGCTTCGGGCCTGTAGGAACTGGCCCAGGGTGGATACATGACACTGGGGGCATGTGTGAACAGTGCAAGTGTGAAAGCTCAGCACTCCCGTGCCTGGCTGGTGTCTGTCCTGTGTATTTTAGGATTGCAGGATCTTTAGTAAGAACCTAAAGATTAGAGGGACCATCTGCCTAGGAAAACAAGCTCGGGAAGGCCAGACGGTTCTGGTTTCTAGTTTCAGGTGCGCACGGCGGGCAGTCTGGTTAGTACTGCTCTTGACCCCCCCACTGCCTCTTGCCATTTCCAGACTGCGAACCCTGCTGCAGCTGAAGTGGCAGCGCTCACTGTGCGACCCAGGCGAGGCTGTGGGCCTGCTGGCTGCCCAGAGCATTGGGGAGCCCTCCACACAGATGACCCTGAACACCTTCCACTTTGCAGGCAGAGGCGAGATGAACGTCACCCTGGGCATTCCAAGGTGGGGCTGCAAGGTTAAACAAAGTTGGGAAGTGGGGGTTCTGCTCTGCCCATTTGGGGGCAGGGAGTCATTAATGAGGATTACCCTGTGGGCAAGAGAGACTGGGTCATCAAAGTGGGTAGTAGGGTTGGAATTTCCTGAGCTGACTGATTTCTGTGGCCAGATCAATGCCCAGGCCTTTTAGGACTTCCATTTACCCCTCTGCCAACTCCTGCATCAGAGTTAGCAGGAATGCTTGTGAGACTACACCCCCCAGAAACATTGCGAACAAGCCCCCCACACGGCCACTTGGTTGCCCAGCTCCAGGAGCACCTTTCACATAGAATGCCACCCTGTGGCCCTGGCCTTTCAGGTGCATGTATGTACACTAGTCCAGTGACTCCGGGGAAAGAGTGTGGGCTCAGACCCACAGCATTTGTTCCTCTGTCCTGTCCCTTGCTAGCAGATGGACTGTGGATGGCTTCCTCGACTTCCAATCTTGGTTCCTTCCATGGAATGCAGGAGGCCAGACCCACAGGCAGGCAGCTGAAGGGCTGATGAGCTTCAGGGTGAGGCCCAGTAGAAGCACTGCACATGCATCTCATTCAGTAAGCACCTACTATGTGCAAGGCCCAGGAATCAGACACAGCTGTGAGTTGAGTTGGCACTCCAGGGAGGAGTCTTGACTGTAGAGTCCCTCACTGATGGAGCCAGAGCTAGGACTCTGATCCAGCACATTTGTCTACAATATCCCACGGCCCCTCTCATCTCAGAAGAGCTTTGACATTTAGAAGAGGTTTCATACAAATAAGGATCTGGTCACCTCGTGATCTGACATGCTCTTACCCTGGGGCAGATTGAGGGAGATCCTCATGGTGGCCAGTGCGAACATCAAGACGCCTATGATGAGTGTGCCCGTGCTCAACACCAAGAAGGCCCTGAAGAGAGTGAAGAGCCTGAAGAAGCAGCTCACCAGAGTATGCCTCGGGGAGGTAACTCACCCAAGGCTGCCTGCTGTGGAGAGGGTGAACCTGTGTCCTCCCATTGGTGTACAATAGGTTTTACTGACTACTCAGACCTTCAGCTTAGGTTCCCAAAGGAAAAGAGAAGTTTTCTTTGCCCAGGGCTGAGCAGAGATGGATCTAGAAATTTTTTAAGATAATCATTAGTTCTACAACATCCTTTTGTGCCTAAAAATTGCAGTGAGTGCTTCCTGGGCTAGCTTACCAGATCCACAGAATCCCACTCCTCCCAAGCTTTGGCCACTGTTTGGAGATTTCCAGCTGCCTCCCATGTCCCCTGAAGAGTCCTGCCAGCAGAGCGCACTAGAGTTTCTTTGGTGTTTGGGCCCCAGCTGCTGCCTTCTCAAGCTCTTAATTTCCTGTAATTCACTTGTGCATTTACTGGGACTTGGACAAACCAAGTTTTCCTTGTCTGTCTGATTCTAGGTGTTGCAGAAAGTTGATGTTGAGGAGTCCTTCTGTATGGGGGAAAAGCAGAACAAATTCCGGGTGTACCAGCTACGGTTTCACTTCCTGCCACATGCATATTACCAGCAGGAGAAGTGCCTGAGGCCCGAGGACATCCTGCACTTCATGGAAACAAGGTCAGGATGTGAGCCATGTTTATTATTGACCTTGACTCACACAGCACACTGCTGGTCACGGGGTACCTGGAGACTGGGTGCACTTGTCCAGTGATTCCTATAAGGGAGGCATTTCAGAAAACAGCAGGCTCCACAACCTAATGAGAAAACCTCACCACTAGTCTTGTTTGTGGATATGACCTCGTGGGCCACACATCACTCCCTGAACCCAGTTCCTCTTTTTGATTGATGTGTTGAGTTTATTGCCATCTCGAGTTTGCAGTGTTCAGACATGAAAGTATGTGTAAAAGTAAAGAGCCTCATTGCAGTGGTGCCTCTGTGAATCAGACCATCCCAAGTTGTTAATGTTTGATGTGATTCTGGGCAGCATGAGGTTTATAGTCTTCTAATAATGGGCAGTAAGCCAATGACATACTGCTTTTAAACCCAGTTCTTTAACCAGGGTTTCCTCCAGCTCTTTACAGAGGACCAGAGAAATTCTAGTTCTTGTCTGGTGGGGAGAATGGACTTCCTTTTTTCTCTCAAGTTATAGTTGGATATTTAAAAAGTTCAGGCCATATTGCTGAGTGCACAGGATTAGGAAGATGGGCTCTTTGGGATTGGAATAAGTGGAAAGGAGCCAATAAAGCACTTTTACCTCACCTGCTGCAGACCCCAGCAGGTAACAGAGCCTGTAAAGTAGGTGGAGAGCCCCCTGGGAACACTCCAGAGGTGGAACCTGTCTTGGGGTTGATTGTCACTGCCGAAACATGGGCCAGGACAGCAAGATGTCCTGATATTTCGTTTTTTAATATTTTTTTCTTTCTTTGGTTATCTAGATGTATGTTTTTGCTCTTAATTTTAAAAAGAAGTCTTTTAACCTTTAAATACCAGCAACCAGTTCTATACTTTTAAAAGCCTGGTAAGCAAAATAGATGCCATCTGTTGATGGGATTCAACCTTAGGCCGCTGAGCACTGCCTCTGACCCAAACCAGTTTCCAGGTCTTCTCAGAGCTGCATGGATGTGGAGAACAGCACAGAGGAGAAAGCTCCCTGCCCTCCATCATCCCACAGGAACATGTCACTGAGGCAGCAGGGGCCAGGAGAGGGCGTCTCTCCTGCCTTCTGCCCTTCACCCTCTACTCCTCCCTCTATACAGGTGGCATTAGGATGATACCTTGACCTGAACTCAGCCCTTTGGATATGGGTCACTTGCCAGGCACATCCTGCCCCGGGTGACACAGGCCCTGGGTAAGATTGCTAGCTGAGCCATGGGAATACCTGTGTCGGCACCTGCCTAGGTTTGTTCCATCGGGCAGTCCTCCACCTGCTCTGGGTTGCTGGGCAGAGTGACGGAAGAGCAGCGTGTGCGCCAGCCCGCCAGCTTGTTAATTAGAGAGGGATTCCCAAGTGTGGCAGATGTTGGTGCTGGCCCAGCATCCTCTTCTGAGAAGTGGGAATTAGAATCGCACGGCCTCTTGAGAATGATGGAGAGGGCTGGAGTCTGTGGTCTGCCTCATTTCTCTGCACCTGAAGCACCGGCCTGGTAGGTCTTCATGAGGCTTATGCTGGGCCGTGCTCAGACATCTCTGCTGACATTACCTCATGGAATAGAAAATAAGTCACTTTTTAAAATTTCCTTCCTGGTAAGTGAAAGCCCTGGCTTGTTCCCAGCAGTGAAGCACTGCTTGACCGCCTAGTTGTGTTTTCCTCTTGCCCTTGAGCAGCTGTAGGAAACAAAGCCACGTCAGGCACTTGGGTGGAGGTAGTCTAGTGACTCCAGCAGAAGGGCCCTGAGATCTTGGGCAAAGATAAAAGAAGCAGACTCTGAACTGGGCTGAGGTTAGAGTCCCTTTGTTGGCCCAGCAGTTATACAGCCATATGAAGTCCTCTGCGTATCCACAGGAAATCTAAATGGGTAGGCTGTGCTTTCAGAAGAGCCACCCCCCTTCCTCCCTGAAGCAATTTCTCCTCCATCCCCTTTCTTTCCCTTCTTCCTGTTCTCCCACCACCCTCTTTCTCCGCTTCCCTTCTCTCCCTTCTTTCCCAGTTGTGGGATCATGAGACGACCTTTTTTTTTTAAACATAAAGTGGAGCAAAAAAGAAAAGAGACAAAGGTGCTTGCTTCTGTAGGTGGTGATATATAAGCATTAAAGCTGCCTTAGCAATTTGGGAAACTTTAATTTATGAGCAGAGAGGAACCTTCATGGCAAGTAGAGATGGCCAAGGTGGGGAACATGAGGAAATTGTAGTCGAGGAAGACTACTGAATAAGACATCACATTTTTCAAGCACTGTCGTGAGCTTAATAAACGTAAATTCTACTACTCATTGGATCGCCAGGGATGTCCCTTTAAAAGGACTGCTGCCTTCAGGTGACAACTTAATGTTCTTTATACCTTTGTGTGTATGATCTATTTTTATAACAGACTATGGTGTATCCAAGGTAAAACTACAATATTTTTGGAGGCTTTGTCTCAGTCTTGTTTTTGTAGTGCCATTATTCAGACTTCATATTATAAATCTTTACTTTTTTTTTTTTCTTTTGGCTTTTTGAGACAGGGTCTCACTATGTAGTTCAGACTGCCCTAGGACTCACTGTGTAGCCCAGGTTGGTCTTGAACTCACAGCGAACCTCCTGCCTCAGCCTCCCGAGTGCTGGGATTACAGGCGTGTGCCACCACGCCCGGCTATAAATCTTTACTTTTAAAACATCTTGGTAATTTGTTATTGAGAGCACTTTGAGTAAAAATACAGTGAAATTCAGTCTAGTTCTGATAATCTGGTAAAGATCAGTTTTGAAAGGTTACTGGTTTTCTTCTCCCATCTTAGTTTTTTTAACCAATATATGAAGAAGAATAAGGGTCAATCTCAACATTTTATTTTCCTTGTTTTGTTTTGTTTTGTTTTTTCCTCATTGAGTTTATTGGTACATTTTAGGTATATAGTACAGTTACATTCATTATTGGGATTTCGTACCGTCCTTGTTATTTTAACAAAGCTGCTAGGCATTTGTGCAACATTCCCTCCCAGTGTCATAATAGAATACTAACTTTCTTAAAATGTAGAAGTGACAGTACATTTTTAGGAGAAAGTAAATTGCTTTGCACTGCTTCCTTTACTCTTCTCCATATATTGGGATACAGCTTTTGAATATGGGATCTTACTATTTGAATAGAAATGTGTATGTGCAATAAGTGTGTGTGTGTGTGTGTGTGTGTGTGTGTGTGTGTGTACGTACATATATATGTGCATGCTGTGACACTTGAATACACAACAAATGAATATTTTAAATTCCAAGAACGGATAGTCTTTAACACAGTGATTATCCTTTTGAGGCTGAGTACATTACTGACTTGTCATCTAGGTTTTTTACTCCCCATAGAGAGGAGTTTTGAGTCAGTTGCACTTACATGATTATTGTTATTTAAAACTAAAACCATGGCTGTACTTTCAAAGGTAAATTTGGAGATCCCTGTTGGTAAGATACAGCTAAATCTCATGTGTATATAGATTTCTACAGGATGAGATAGTGTAATTTAGGGTTTGATAATTTAATAACCAGGGCTACCCAGGAAAAGTGACCTGATACCATAGTACCAATAAGTAAAGGAGGCTCTGTTTGCTTTTGCCACTTTTAAGACTTTTAACTTCTCAGGTTATTAACCAAATTATTGTATAAGTTAGCAAATAGAATCCTTAGGTTAAAACAACAGATGGGAGATTTGTGGAGTGTCTGATGTCATGGGCATTTTTAGTAGCATAGGCCCATTGCTCTGAGTTTAATTTTTTCATTTATTTTTGTTCCATAGATAACTTTCTCTCCCCAAGTTTGCTATTAAAATCAGATGCCCAAATGTCCCCCCCAAAAAAATGCTTTGATGTCTGCACTGGCACTCATCACTTTGACTATTCGTATTCATGGTCCGAAAAATGGACAGGAGATGAAGAAAGCACTGGGCTAGGAATCAGGGTCTATAGGTTCTGGCCTCCCGTCCTGGGCATGTACTGACCCAGCTGGCCATCTGCAGTTTGAGTGTCTGTGACTCTTAACTCTCCACCTAGCAGGTGGCGCAGCTGTTAACAAGCACTTTCGGAAACAGCCAAGGGTCATGTTGCTGGTTTGTAATTATTTATGTGAGCTAGGAGGCTTCTCTGCCGCCTCCCCCTGCCTGTTCCCTTTCACTTGCCACGTGACAGCACCACCTTCAGAAGCAGTCCTTGTGGCCCATCACTTCTCTTGCTCTTGGCAGAATCGCAGAAAGGCAAATGACTACACCTCCTTGGAAATACTGGCACATTGACACAGTCTGCCTCATATCGACCAGTGTTCTTCTACTCCCTTGTTATCTCCCATGTTCTCATCTGTCCTGGTCACCAGAGAGGGGGCAGGGTAGAAAGGATTCCCTGCTGAGGGATCGGGGAAGGTTTCTTGGAGGAGCTGGTCTCCACTTTGACCCAGCCTTGAAAGATGGGTACAGATCCAGCACGTAGATGGGAGCTACAGGTATAGCAGGGAAGATGGCTGCAGCAGAGGCTCAAAGGATGCTCAAGGGTGGGAGCAGATGGACAGTTGTGGGGAGGAGCCTCACCTATAACATTGCCACAAACTGGGACAGCCTAAGGGTGCTGGATGAGCTGGAGCTGCTGGCCAGCCCCACCTCTAGCCCCCCAGTTTGATCCATGTCTGTTCTGCATGGTGGCCTCATGTGCCAGGAGAGCAGCCCCATGTCACAGGCAGATCCCGGCTGGCACAGAAACTTCCCCTGTCCCTCTAAAATGAGACCCAGCCTCCTTTCCTCTGGCCTCCCCAGCACCTGGTGAACAAGTGTGTCACTAGGTTGGTGGGTGAGGAGCCTTTTTTCTGCCAAAGACAGAAACCTCAGCAAAACCATGTATCTCTTTGCAAAGCTACCCAAAACACAGGAAGTGAGGATGGCATTCTTTCATTTTTAATGAGAAAAACAGTAAACATTTAACCCACCCACTTTTCAAATTAAGGTTCAGCTTCATGGCCAGCAACCCACCTTTTCTCCCTCATCTTGCCCCTGGGGCTAGAATACCGGCATAGAGTGAGTGCTCACAGAGAGCACAGGATGGTTATACGAGCGATCCGATGTTTTGTACAGCTAAAAGCAGTCCAAGTTGGTCAGCTCTTCTAGCCTGATGTACAAGCGGCAAGAGGTTACCTGAGAGAAGCAGCAGTGGGGAGGGGACAGGGTGAAGCCCTGAGGGACCCTAAGAAAGTCTGACTCAGGAAGAGGGGCCACAAGCCAGGAAAGACTCTGAGTTGAAGATGGATTCTTTCCAACTGATTTGGTTCTAAACTATTGAGATGATTTATCACAAGTAACTTGTCACTGTTCTTTGAAATTCTGATGTGCTTTTCAGAACTCATTCTCTGTCCCAAGTGAGGGGCCCCTAGACCAAGGAGAAGGGGGCTCCTCTGGCCTGAGCAGCTTGACTTTTTGGAGATGCTGTAGGCGACCGGCAAAGCACCTCTGTCCATCCTGGTTAGATGACAACCACAGTGGCACCAACAACTGTCATTTATCAAGCACATGCCCTGCCATGCCCTGGGAAAGGTGTCAGACACAGGGTCATTTCTGATTCTTAAGATTATACCATACTAAAACCCACATTGTGTAGACAAGCAATTTATAGAATAGGGAGCTACATTGGCTCAAAGCCACATAGTCCAGAAGTGACCGAGCCAGTATCTAGACCAGGCCTTCCCCTCAGAAAGGAGACAGGGAGCAAATGGATAGGAGAGACTGGCCTCTGTCACTAGCATTAATCACCTGTGGGACTCCCTCGGCATCCTGCCCCACCGCAAGAGGAGAGCCAGACACACTGGTACTGACCATGGGATGTGGCTGTCTTCTCTCCTCAGGTTCTTTAAACTTCTGATGGAATCCATCAGAAAGAAGCATAGTAAAGCATCAGCCTTCCGAAGTGTGAACACTCGGAGAGCTACGCAGCGGGATCTCGATGATGCTGAAGAATCAGGGAGGAGTCGGGTGAGCGAGGCCTGGGGACCACTTGGAGCCACATAGATAGTCCCAAGGCTGAGAGGGAGGTAGAAGACCTGTAGTCTTCTTTCTGGGGAAGGCTCTGGGACTGTTCTCAGTGCCCCTTCCTGGTGGTGCCCGTCTTTCTACTCACGCCAGCGTTTTCTGCTGTTCTGAGAGAGCCAGCGAGCCATATCTTCTCAGGGATAATGGGTTGGGCCAAGGAGGCTGCAGGTATGATGGTGAGACTGCCCCTGGGTCAAGGCCTTAAGACTGCCATGTGTCCTCCTAAGGACCCCTGTGAGAAAGTTTTCATCCTAAAGATGGACTTTCAGTAATGGTATATGCTGAACCTTGATGGTTCTTTTTTTTGTTTTGTTTTGTTTTTTTGTACTGGGGATCAAACTCGACCTTGCACTTGCGAGGCTGGCCTGGGCATCCCTGAGCTAAATCCCAGGCCCTCTTGATGGTTCTTTTTCTAATTTCATTTGGCTTCTCCAGATCAGATGAACTGAAGCCCATATGGCAGGGACCAAAAATATATTTTGTAATAAAGAAGGCAAGCCTCGGTGACAGAAAGGTTGGAGAAGGATTATTTTGGTGGAATATTGAGTATTTTAAAAACTGAGTATTTATATTCTTCCTCCTTTTCCCATCCTGCAACAGAATCGATTAAAAATATTTGGAACAATATTTTGCACCATCTTTTAAGGACTTGCATAGCCTTGGCCTTTTTCTTTCTTTTTAAATGAAAGATTTTACAAGTGGTACATATAAAATTTGAAGAGAAGAAGGCCTGGAGTCCAGGGCCAGTCTGGGATATGGGCTTGAGAGGTAGATAGATGGTGATGGATGGAAGAAGAGTTGGTAGATGGGCAGCTGGGGAGGCGGATGTAATGATTAACAAAGGCTGGGAGGTAAGTGGAAAGGTAGGTGGGTGGGCAGTTGGACGGATGGGTGGCTAGAGAGGTTTGTGGATGGACCCATAGATTCACTGAGCACTGAACATTGGAACTGATCCTTTTCCTTCTTGTCCTCACACCACAGGGAGAGCACGAAGGTGATGAAGATGAGGGGAACATTGTGGATGCTGAAGCTGAGGAGGGGGATGCTGATGCCTCAGATGCAAAATCCAAGAAGAAGCAAGAGGAAGAGGTGAGGGGTCTCTGGCTGGGGCAAAGGGTCTGTGTCATATCCTTCCTTTGGCACATGAAGGACATGGCCTCTTTGTCTGTGTCATGACCCACCAGAACCCTGAAGCAAGACCTGCCTGTGCAGCACACCTCTCGATTGAGTAGGTAGGATTTAGAGGGCAGGAATAAGGATGTCCCTTGGATGTGAGTGTTCCCAGGTTTGACTCAGACTGCAGGACCCATAGAAGCCTCTGGTTACCAGTCAGGCTGTGGAAATGTGATACTTCCTCCACCCCCACCCCAGAGCAGTCCTGCTGTCATAAGCTCAGCAGAAACAAGGGGAGGTTAGAGGGGCCAAAGGACTGCACAGGTGAGAACTTAGGTGAGTGTGTGGAGTGGAAGGGCCAGAAGAAGGGAAGGAAAATAGCCAGACCAAGGCAGAGAAGCCCTAGGTGAAGAGGGTGGGGCGGTGGGGGCCTAGGCCAGGGCCAGCCTTTGTAGGGTGCTTGTTCCAGACACAAAGTGCAGGTCATGGTGGGGCCCTGAATAGCAGTCTGCACTCTTGCTACCTACCAGGTGGATTATGAGAGTGAGGAAGAGGAGGAGAAGGAGGAAGAAGAAGATGAGGAGGACACACAGGAAGATGGGAACATCCGTGGTGAAGATGCCGACCAGGCCCGTGAACCAGATGAGGAGATGTGCTCAGTCCCAGAGGAGGACTTATCCCAGAAACCTCTCTGCCTCCGCCGGGAGCGCCAGGAAGCTGAGGCTGTGGAGCGCCGTGTCCAGGCTGTGCGTGAGGCCCACTCGTTTGTTGAGGACTACCAGTATGACACTGAGGAGGGCCTGTGGTGCCAGGTCAGTGCGGTACTCAGCTGGGGCCGGGCCTCTTTTGGGCCTGCCGCAGAGCTTTGTGATAGTCATAAGGTGGGGCATCCATACTGCTGGGTCTCCTGCTTTTCCAGCACACAGGCCATGAGAGTTCAGAATCTGATGACGTCTGGACCCTCTGCTCCAAAGCACAGCCCCACACATGCCACTTTCAAACCCCTAGTGAGCCAGGGCCCTCTAGTTGCTCAGGAATAGTTTGAGTCTAATCTGCCAAACCCTGCAGATTGGTGCCACCTCACTTAGTGCTCAGCATACTAACATTGTTAACTTACCTCCCTGCCAGCAAACAGGAACCTGAAAGCTCCCCGCACACATGACCTGTAGCCCCCGTCCTGGCTCCTTTGTGGTTCCCCTCAGGGCTGGATGGTGTAGAAGCCTCAGCATCTCACAGGCTTATTTTTTTATCTCCCCTTGGACCTAAGTTCATGGTTCCCAGATGGTAACATAACTAACAGGACTCTTGAATGGGGTCCTGGGCAAGAGCAGCATGTATCATACTTGCTGTCATTTGAAGGACAGTAGGGCAGGGTTGAGTGGATATGAGTCTCTGCATATCACTGATGTCTGTGACAGTGTGGCTCCACTATTCCCACCTTGAATGTGAGTGAGTGAAGGTGTCAGTAAAGCCAGCCAGTGTTCAGGCCCTCCACTCCAGCCAGCATGTCTACAGGAGGCCTTCTGGGTGTCCAGGAGCCTGGCATCTCCAACCTTGCAGCTCTCTCTCCTCTTGTAGGTGATGTTGAAGCTCCCTCTGATGAAAATTAACTTTGATATGAGCTCCCTCATCGTGTCCTTGGCCCACAGCACTGTTGTCTACACAACCAAGGGCATCACTCGGTGCCTCCTGAATGAAACCACCAACAATAAGAACGAGAAGGAGCTTGTGCTGAACACAGAAGGAATCAACCTCCCGGAGCTGTTCAAGTATGCTGAGGTACGTGTCCACTTCTCCAGGGTATGGGCTGGTCTGGGATGACGTGGTAGCTGACCTCATGTTGTCTTGGAACCCAGACACTCGGGACTTGGGGGCCCATTAATTCTACCCCTCCCTAAGCTGTTCATGCTTTTAAAATGTGTTCCCCAAACCGCCCCCTGGAGACTCAAGATGGTGTGTGTGAGCCTTGTTACAGCTTATAGTGCAGAAACTTGCTGAACTTTAACCCAGAGTCTCCAGGGATTTTTTAAACAATTATTTTTCTTTGAAATTAAGACCTTCTCAGGCTGGGGATTTAGCTTAGTGGTGCTGCTCCCTGCCTTGCAAGCACAAGGACCCAAGTTCAATCCTCAGTACCAAAAAAAAAAAAGACCTTCCTGCCAGGGATTTGGCTCAGTGGTTCCAGAGTCTGCCTCACAAGCACAATGGCCTGAGTTCAATCCCCACTACCAAAAAAACAAAACAAAATGAAATTAAGACCTTCCCAAGGTAGAGTAGTAATAAATGGTGTGTTGCAATGCTGCCCTGGATCTGCTCACTTTCTGGTAAAGGAGACCTAGCCTAACACAGCACACCCTGTCCAAAACCCTGCATTCCTGTCCCACCTGCTCACCAGTACACTCATCCTTTTTGAGTTGCTCTCAGCCCTGGACACAAGTGTTCCCACCTCAGGATACTGAGGAATTTGGGCACCTGGCCCCTTTTCCCTTAGCCAGTATTAGGCTGGCAAAGCCCCCCTCCCTCACACACTTCTGCCCCCAGCAACAGCTTCCCTGGAGGATGAGCAGGCTCATGGGAATCAGCTCCTACCTCCATGGGGTGTGGTTTGGGTCATGCGTGCTTGTGGAGTTTGTTCCAACAAGGACCAGACAGGTCATCTGTCTCTGTCTTCTGTGAAGCATGTCTGGTGCTGGGGCAGTGCCCCTTTCCAGTGCAATGCAGAACCACTGAGGGCCACTCTGGGATGGCTCAGTTGGAGCCTCAGCCTCTGGTGAGACCTGACAGACCCCAGTGGGCCTGACCTATCCCTGCCTATGTGTCCTAGGGGAGGTTTCGGAGGTCTCTGCTGAGGGAGCCATCCTTGAACTCTGGTCATGGCAGCAGCACAGACCTAGAACCTGGCCAGCATGTTATCAGCTTTCCTTGCACCCATCCTGGGCCACCTCTCCACACTTTGTCATCAGCTGTGCTCAGCTACCAGGCACATGGAGAGAGAGCGTGGTGGGGGCGGAGGACACGTAGACAGAAGGAGCAAGAGGCTGGGCACTAAGTTCCCCCTCCCACTCCCAGGTGCTGGACCTGCGCCGCCTCTACTCCAACGACATCCACGCCATGGCCAACACATATGGCATTGAGGCTGCCCTGAGGGTGATCGAGAAGGAGATCAAGGATGTGTTTGCTGTGTATGGTAAGAGGGACACCCAGAACACCTCAGAGGGTCAGTCCTTAATGGGCTTTTCGCTGAGGCACAACTGAAATTAGTGCAGTGCATGTGCAGTGGAGACCGCAGTGTCTGAGAGTCCCAGAGGGAATGTGAGGAGACAGCAGCTCCGCCACTGAGCCACTCAGTGGTTTCTCAGCAGCTGGTGTCTTTGAGAAGCTCCCAAAAGTTTGATGACTTGGCCCATCCTGCCTGCAGGGTTCTGGTTTCCTGGGGAAAGCAGTACAGATGAGTCTTTGCTTCAGAGGCTACTAGGTGGGCATGGAAAGGAGGATGCCGGGACGGGGTGGTCCCCAGGCCAGTCACAGAGGTGCTGGAGCTGGGATGGAGCCCAGGGTGTGAGCTGCAGGCAGCCTGGCTTCTGTCTGGTGATGTTTCCTAGCTGTCTTCCTCGTCACTGCTTAATCCTTGCCACTGTTACCATCCCTATGACAGGCATTGCAGTGGATCCTCGCCATCTGTCCCTGGTTGCTGATTATATGTGCTTCGAGGGTGTATACAAGCCACTAAATCGCTTCGGGATCAGGTCAAGCTCCTCTCCTCTGCAGCAGATGACATTTGAAACCAGCTTCCAGTTTCTGAAGCAGGCCACCATGATGGGTCAGTGTAGGCAGGTGCCTGGGCCTTCCCTCTCCTGACCTGGGCAACAGCCTGTCCCATCAGGCATCTTTCCACAGCGCCTTGTACTCAAGGGAGATCTTAGAATGGTAGGGCTGGGGTGGGGGCAGCAAATGAGAAGCCTGCCTGTGCATCTTGAAGGAAGAGAGGATCTCCCCTCTTTAAAGGTGGGAGCAGCACTGCAGCATGGGCTGTCACTGCAGGGACTTGGGACCGGACCTCACACACCTCAGCATTGGGCGCCCCCATCCCCTCACATCACCTTTAGCTTTCCCCACAGCCCCCTGACATAAGCTCTTACATCTCTCACAGGATCCCATGATGAGCTGAAGTCGCCTTCAGCCTGCCTCGTGGTTGGTAAGGTTGTTAAAGGTGGGACAGGACTGTTCGAGCTCAAGCAGCCCCTGAGATAGTGGCTTCTGCAACACCATCTGCCCAGCCAGGAGGACCTGAGTATGGATGTGGCCAGCACCGGAGAGGACCAGAAGGTCAGACTCCAAGGTGGTTCAGAGTGACGGTTCAGAGCACAGCAGTGACCTCAGGCTTCAAAAAGCAGCTGATCTTTGGGTGGAAGTAGAAAGTGACAGTGTTGCTCTTCCCTGCCCCATCTCAGGATTGTAACAGTGCTCTCAGTCCCTCTAAGATGGCTGGGATTTCGCTTGCACTGGAAATCCGTGAGGAGAAGCCCAAGGACGTTCCCTGGAGTATCAGGGGAACATCGACTTTGCTGTTGGGACCAACGGTACCTCCAGTGTATAGAAGTGAGATCCTTTTGCCCCAGTGACTGCAGACAGGATTCCTAGGGTCCCACATGAGCAGAAACATAGAACCTGCTACTCCCCGACGTGCCCTTTCCGGCTCGTCCAACACCTGGGCGCAGAGTACATGGAGTCCCCAACCTAGGGCTTTTTCATGGGCCAAAGGCAGAACAGCACCGTCCTCCAACCACCCAACTTCATACCTGCACTGCAGCAGGGCCTTGAGATCACATCAGTCTCTCCAGGTCCTCAGCAGTTCACCCCCACACAGAAAACCCCACAGAGGCCATTGGCCAAGCTGCCTGGCTTCCCTGGCTCTGCTCTCAGATATGTCGAGCCTTGTGACCTCTGTGTAGGCCCTGCTGTGTGGCTGGGTTTGTCTGGGCCCTCTTCACCACAGACAGCAGCAAGGTACCCGGGCCTGAGCAGAAAAGGCAGAGAGGGCTCATACAGAGGCTTTGTAAAACCAGAGGCTGTTTCTATTTTTGTCTAATGTTATTCTAACTCAGGCTGAGTAATAAACATCCCTGAAACTGTTAGGAGGGGGGAAAACTGACTTGTGTTTTTTATTTTTTCTTCTGGTTTATGGTTTTTGCATTTAGAGTTGAGAACCCAGAACTGGGATTTTCTTGGCACAGTTAGACCTCCATCCCTCTTTTTGCTTTCATCTGAGTTTGTGAGGACAGATCTCATCCCCTGCAGACCCCTCACCACCACCCCATCTGTTCTACTAGTGTCCCCTTCCAGCTCTAGCCCAATGGCCAGTAGAGGCACAGGACAAAAGCTGGTGGGAAGGAGCTGTGCTGATCTGGGAGGTGGGGTCGGGGACTGCAATAAACTCAAGAGTGAGGTCTGGGTTAAAGGTAGGCCTTGCAGGGGGAGAGGGACTACACTACTCCCTCCAGACCTGGGGCAGGACCCAGCCTGCGCCTCTTGCACCCACACATGACAGGGTCTGGCCTTGCTTGGACACAGAGTATGAAAGCTTCCAAGGAAGACAGGGAGGATGGGTCCCTGTGGAATCCTGTGCAATAGAGGCCCAGCATGCAGCGGGGTAGGTGTTCATTCTTTGAGATGAAAGACTCAACTAGAATTGTGAGAGAGTCCTCAGAGAAGATCACAAGGTACCCCAACGCTGCGACCTCTGACTGACGAACGAGTGGGTCCATGTTCATGAGGTCAACCCCTCCTCCTGCCCCCACTCCTCCATGCAGCCTTTTTACACCACTCTCCCCAGAGGATGAGTAGAAACAGCACATCTGGTTTTTAAACAGATGTTCCAGTGCTTGGCCAGCTGCGACATCTTTGCAGTAGTCTCAGGGTTATAAATGCGGTTCCTCTGAGAGTGTCCTTGAGTTTTTGCAAGAGCTACAAGTTGGCCCTGGCCAAATTTGTTGAAGAGGATAGGGCAATTGCAAAATCTTTATTTTGGTTATTTTGTTTTGTTTGTTTTTGCTTTGTTTTGCTTTGGGCAGTACTGACTGAGGTTGAGCCCGGGGCCCTTATGTATGGCATGCAAGCACTGTACCACTGAACCACACACCCCACCCCAGCCCTTTTAATTTTTTTATTTTGAAACAGTCTTGCTATGTTGCCTGGGTAGGCCTTGAACTTGGAATCCTTCCTTACCCTCTACAGTAGCTGGGCTTACAGTTTCAGAGTTACTTCAGTCAAAACAGGATAGAGATTGTCCAGAGGGTTTCACAGACTTTTCATGGAGGCTATGAGTTCTTCAGAACCCCAAAGTACTAGCAGCCACAGTTCCTGGGCATTCTCCTTGAGGCCTTGCCCTTTAGATGACAGTGTCCATACCTATTTGGATTGCTCAGACTTTTTTTTTTTTTTTTTTTAATATCCTTTCTGAGTTCTCAACGAAATCAGTACTGGCATCCCTGAAGTTGCTACCATGAATCTGACACATCTTTGCTAAATCAAGTAGGAACAAACCAGGACTAAATGAAGCCCCTTGTCCCCTTCTCTCTTGGCACCTTCCCTTCTCTCGTTTTTCCATTTTGTATTGCTGTTACAAAGTATCTGAGGCTATAATGTTAAAAAAAGGGTTTATGTCACTCAGTTCTGGAGGCCCAAGAACATGCGGCAACATAAGCGTGGCACTGGTTAGGGCCTTGTGGCAGGTGGCAGCAGTGTGTCCTTTTCCACAGTAGCTTAGCCACGTCCAAGTGACTGGCAGCACATGCGGAAGAGGGCTTCTGAGCCCGTGTTGGGTTCCCTTGTAAAAGGACCCATTCTCTGCAAGCTAATGACTCCATTGAGGCCAGCTTCGGTCCCTTGTCCCTTCCACTAGACCCTACCTGTTAAATCTGCGACCTCAGCACCCCCACCTGGAAAACCAAGCCTCTGCCTGTGCACCTCTGGGGATCAAACCATCACACCCCCAAATGTATGTGCAGATAGCTGTGCCCATTGAACTCTACCCCCACCCAATTCTTTCCCTATGCACCAACTTCTCTGGGTGCCTCCTGTAGCGTTTGATTTTTTGAAATTTTGTTAATGGTTTATTTCACTTAGCCTGATGTCCTCGAAGTTCATCCATTGTGTAACGTGTCAGAATTGCCTTTTTAAGACTAAATAACAACCCACTTAGGGATATACACGTTTTGCCTTTGTATTTGTCTATTAATGGATAGTTTGGTTGCTTTCATCTTTTAGCTATTGTGAAGTGGCTTGATCCTATGGCAGTTCTTTCTAAAATTATTTTGAAGAACCTTGTATCCTTTTCCACAGTAGCTTTTTTACATTCCCACTGGGTTCCAATTTCTCCACATCTTTGTTACTTTCTGTTTCTATTTTAAATAGTAGCTATCTTGATGAGTAGCACGTATTCTCATTTTTGGTTTGGTGTTCTAATCAAATGGCAGGACCCTTAGCTGGTTTGCATCTGCAGACCAACTAAGGATAAGAACAATTTACAAAGTATTTGCTGTTTGCCAATCTTAAAAGTTTTTGAGTTTATGATTGAACACGCTGCTATAGGAATCTAGAAAAATGCTCTTGAAGCAGGAGAGATTGGTCCTTTAGGTGAAGAGTCACCCGTTAGCAACTCCCTCTACAGACTCTGTGGAGTCTTCATACCACAACCTGTATGTGAGGTCACACAGCTCAGGTAGTTGCTGAGCCTGCTGTGGCTCTCCTGATCCCCGTGCAGTTTTACTTCAATCACAGCCACTCAAATAGCTGTGGTCAAAAATTTCAAATTTCCTAAGCCATAAACCCCAGAGGTCCTCATTCTGCACATTGGTAACGCTTGGGGAGCTTTTAGATGCATTTCAATGCCATAACCAGAGATTGGGGCTTTTTGTTTGTTTGTTTGTTTTGTTTTTTTACTGGGATATTTAAGGTATACAATATAATGACATTCATCAGTGGAAATTTGCACCTTTACATAATCAATCATGGTTATTTTTTCCCCATTCCCCTGTCCTCCCTTCAACCCCTCCCCCCCAGCTACAAAGACTTTGTTTCCATTTTTTGTTTTTCTCTTATTCCATCCCCTTCTTTCTTTTTGCCTACCCCTCCTACTTCCCCTTTGCATCTTCCTGTTTCACACCTTTTAGTCATTTATATTTTCACTTTCTCACACAGGAAAAACTATTCAGTATTTACATGTGTGTCCTCTATTTCACTTAAGAGCATCTCCTCAGTGTGCATCCATTTAGCTATAAATGTATCTGATTTATCATTCTTTGTGGCTGAGTAGTACTCCACTGTTTAAAAAAAATGTTCTTTATGAAGTCTCCCGCTGATGGGCAGTTGGGTTGCTTCCAAGTTTTAGCTTTCACAACTATGCTGCTATGAACATGGGTACACATATATCACTGTAGTATGATTCTTTTAATTCTTTGGGGGAAGATACCCAGCAGCAGAATAGCTGTGTCAAATGGAACTTCCAATCCTTGTTCTTTTAGGTATCGTCATACTGATTTCCACAGTGGTTGCACCAGTCTGTACTCCCACCAGCAGTGGAGCAGGATTCTCCCTCTTTCCCCACAGCCCCACCAGTATTTGTTATTGGTTGATTTCTTGATAGCAGCCATTCTTTCTGGGGTGAAGTGGAATCTCAGTGTTGTTTTCATTTGCATCTCTCAAATGACCAGTGTGATGTGGAACATTTTTTCATATGCTTTTTGCTATTTTTACTTCTTTGAGAAATGTGTATTTATTTCAGATGCCCATTTTGGGATTGGGTCTTTAAATTTGAGAGGTCTGATTTTTTTTTTTTTAAGTTCTTTATATATTCTAGATAATAGACCTTTGTCTGAGGAACAGCTGGTGAAAACTTTTTTCCCACAATGTGGATTGTCTCTTCACACTGTTGGTCATTTTTTTTGCTGTGCAGAAGCTTTTTAATAAGAAGACATCCCACTTGTTGATTGTTTGTGCTAGTTCAAAGGCACCTGAGATTTTGTACATAAAATGTTTTCCTACACCAATGTCTTTAAGAGCTCTACGTCACCTCTCTTCCAGGCAGTTGTGTTTCAGTTTTAATATTTAGATCTTTAATCCATTTTGATTTTAGTTTAGTGCATGGTGAGAAATACAGGTCTGATTTTAATCTTTGGCAAGTTGAAACCCAGTTTTTCCAGCACCATTTATTAAAGAGGCTATCTTTCCTTCAATAAGTGTTTGGCTCGTTTGTTGAAGATGAGATGGCTGAGTGTGTCTGGAGTTGTTTCTGCATCTTCTAATCTGTTCCACTGGCCCTTGGGTCTATTTCTTTGCCAGTACCATGCTGTTTTTATCACAGTAGCTTTGTAGCATAGTTTCAAGTTGGGGATTGTGATGCCCCCTATCTTGTCTTTATTACCTAGAATTGCTTTTGCTATTCTAGGTTTCTTCTTGTTCGAAATTAATTTTTGGATTGTTTTCTCAAGGTCTGTGAAGAATGCTGCTGGGATTTCAATTAGGATTTCATTGAATCTATATAGCAGTTTTGGAAGTATGGCCATTTTCACTAAACTGTCTCTACCTCAATCTGATAAAAGCCATCTATGAAAAACCAACACCCAGTATCATACTAAATGGTCAAAAACTGAAATCCTTCACACTAAAATCAGGAACAAGACAAGGATGTTCACTATCACCATTTCTGTTCAATATAGTTTTGGAAACAGCCACAGCAATTAGACAAGAGAAAGAAAAGGAATAAAGAGGAAGCAAGTCAAATTGTCATTATTTGCGGGTGACATGATACTCTATATAGAAGAACCCAAGAACTCCACCAAAAGTCTTCTAGACTTAATAACCAAATTCAGTAAAGTAGCTGGATACAAGATCACCCCAAAATCAATAGCTTTTCTGTACACAAACAACAAACTCACTGAGAGAAATGGGGCAAACAATTCCTTTCACAATAGCATCCAAAAAATTGAAATACTTAGGAATCAACCTAACAAAAGAAATCAAAGACCTCTACTCTGAAAATTATAGCACTGAAAAAACAGACTGAAGAGGATGTCAGAAAATGGAAAGACATCCCTTGCTTCTGGGTAGGCAGAGATTCCGATTTAATCAGCCTGGGGTGTGGCCTAATATTGAAAGCTCTCCAGGGGGTCTGGTGGGAAGCAGAGTTGAGAACCACAAAGTAAACCCTACATTGTGCAGATTCACAGACACTGGCACCTCCTACTGATAAGATGACTTCTCAGGGCGTGGGTCACTGATCCGAGGTCCTACCATAACCTCTTCAGAGCTGATCTTGCCCTCTCAGGGTATGTACAAGAGTGAGGGGGCACAGTAAGGCTTGCCTGGTGCCCCATAGGTGTCTAGAGTTTCATGATGGGCTTCAGTGGAGGCCGCCCGCCCACACTCCTGAGGGCTCCAGAAGCTGACAAGATAGCACTGCTGCTTCCAAAAGGAGGTGGGAGGCCTGCAGCTGCTTCCCAGTCTGCGTGGTAGAGGCTCTGCTTGTCCCACTAAAAAGTTCCTGCCAGTGTGATACCAGCAGGGCCAGAAGGAGGGGACACTTGCTCAGCCAGGACTTCACCAGAGCAGCATCATGAGACGTTTCTGTTCAAAGGTTAACCTCAGTTGTCTTATAAAAGTCATGCCTCATCTTTTAAGCAGCACCTCTGTCCACTGGTGAGTGGGATTAAGGTCACAGCTTCAGCTGTCCCTGGAACTGCACAGGTGACTTAAGGAACAGAGTGCTTTTGTGCTCACTGACCCCTCTACTCCACTTAATGTTCTCTGGATAAACTGTGACCTCTGTCCCTATGGAACTTGAGTACAGTGCCCCAAACATGCAAGTCAACAAGAAACTCAGCTTCATAGTTAACCAGGCCCAAGATGGAGGTGCTCTGTAGGCACCTTTTTTTTTTTTTTTTTTGGTACTGGGGATCGAACTTGGGCCCTTGTGCTTGTGAGGCAGGCACCAGAACCACTGAGCTAAATCCCTGGCCCTGTAGGCACCTTTGAACATTCACACCACTTGCTCCAGGTAAGACTGAGCCTACCTGCTGGCTCTGTGAGGGGGAGAGGGAAGAGGCACCTGGGTGCTCAGAGACCAGAAGTGAGTAAAACTGGAAAAGAAATCAGGAGTCTTCCAAGTGTGGTAGTGCATGCCTGTAATCCCAGCTCCTGGGAGGCTGATGCAGTAGAATCACCACCAGTTCCAGGCCAGGCTGGGCTGTACAGCAAGACCCTGGCTCAACCACCAGCACCCCCGTCAGAATTCGTCATTGCACCCCCACTTCCTCACTCTGCTCCCAGCACTCAGCAAGTCAGCCTTCACCTCTGAATATATATAGTAGTATATGTGAGGCTTCTTTATGGTCCAGCCACATTCAGCTATCTAATCTCTGACAAAGGGGCCAAAAACACATTGGAGGAAAGAGCTTAAATGATGCTGGGAAAACTCATTCACATGCAGAAGATTGAATTTAGACCAATATCTCCCACTAACTGTTAAAACAAGCAATCTGCTAGAAGATAAAATAGGTAGAGCTCTTGCAGACCTAAGCATAGGCATGGGCTTTCTGAACAGAACCCCAATTATACAAGAAGTAGCACCAACAGTCAGCAAGTGGAATCATCAAAATAAAAGGCTGGACTGGGAATTTAGCTCAGTGACAACCATCCAAGCCTAGTCCTGTCTTTGCTTGAGATGGTGGATGTGGAAGGCAGTCAGACCTGTGATCTCTGCTGAACAGAGGCAGTGGGATGAGGCATCAAGCAGACCCCTAGACTTAGTGCTAGCACTCTCGGACCCACTTGCCTCTGAAAGCCACACATTCTGACCCTGACATCTCACCATGGAGAGCAGGACCCCATTCCCAGGCTGAGCTGAAACTTCCCAGGGTTGTCTGTCCAGTCTGTTCTTACTCCACAACTTTCTCATGGTTGTCTCTCATCCAGTCATTGTTGGAAGGTAATTGCTATGGCTTGTATCTAGATGTCCCCCCAAAGCCTCATGCGGTCATGGTGGGGCTTTTCAGAGATGGCTGGATTGCTTCTCAGCCAAGTGCAGAGACCTAGAGTGACAGTGGGATTGATTCATGGTACACAATGCTAGGATTATTGGTAAGTGCTACCTGACCTAAGACCAGGTAGTCTGAATAAGATATAAGGGACAGAAAGAGGCTTCTCTCTTGCTTGTTTTTGTTTTCTTCTGCCTGTCATGAACTGTCTCTCCTCTGTGATTTCCCTGTCATGCCTCCCTGCCTGGCAACCAGCCAACGATGAACTGAAACTTCTTCAAACTGTGAGCTAAATAAATCTTCCCTCCTTTAACTTTGGCAGTCAGGTATTTTGTCTCATCAACGAGAAAAAGTAACTAAGTAATAATATTGAAAACCCTGTGGTGAATGAAGTTCCTTTGTAGTTGTTCTGTAGCTCAGTCTTAAGGAATCAACTCCTTCCCAGAATGGCTCCTAAGAACTGCTTGTTCATATTCCTTGTCTATTTTTCTGTTGGAATGTGTCTGTCGCTGTTATTAGTTTTAAGGAATTGCTATTTGTCTTTAGTCATCTGCTTTAACTACTTTTCTCTTGAACTGTTAAATGAGTTAGATAACACATGTGAGGAGTTTAGCAGACCCTGCACTGTGATAAAACCTTGAATATGGAGATCAGCTCTAACTAGTGGCACACATCTGTAATCCAAGCTCCTTGGGAAGCTGAGACAGCAGCATCACTTGAGCCCAGGAATTCTAGACCAGTTTAGGCAAAATAGAAAGTCCCTGGCTAAAATAAATAAACAAACAAACTAGCTCACCAACATGAAAAAGAGATCAGTTCTTGGCTGCCCCAGCAGTGATCATGCTTAGACTTTAGTTAGGGCCACTGGGACATTTTCTGAATTACATAGATTGATTGAAAGAGCAAATTATCCATTGTAAGGGACTAATA